AAATGACCTTTACATACAGTGTGTGTAGAACTGGACTGAAAACTCCATGACAACGATGACTTTAGACTGGTGTTACGTAATCGCATTCTATCCGTTTATGCATATAGAATGGACTAATTAACTAAAATGCAACAGATGTTTATATTTGATTTGTGTATATAAAGCAACAATCTAATCGCTATGGCAACTAGGGGTGGGCGATATATCGATATGAATTCTGACATATCGTATATATCGATATAATGTTTATATTCAATTCTGATTTCGCCGCTTCACTTGTTTGTCTTCTCTCTCGTCGCCTCCGCGTGCCCTCGCCTCCCTGATTTTGTTCGCTCGTGTCTCCTTCACTCGTCACTGTCGCCGTGAACGCCGAAAGTTGGTGCCAGTGAAAAGCTTCAAGCACCACGAACCTTTTCCACCATTTACAGACAAGAACATCAGCAGCACATCCTCATATTCCACCGAGTCGCATCCTTTAGCCCGAAAGAAGCTGAACGAGTTGAGCTGCAGGAGAAGTGCTGTTTATGCAAATGAACCATGCGCTTAAGTTTGGTTTCTGTAAAATGTAAACACACGTGCGCAAAACTACATTAAACACATTATTATCTCAAAATGGCTGATGTGGCTCTAGAGTCGTTATGCTTTATATATTGTAAAGTTTAGCAATGTAAAGTTGTTTTATGCAGAAGATTTTAATGAATAATCTGCTGCAGTGTCACTTGTACAATAGTGTTTGGAAACGTTGGGTTTGATCTGCAGTGGATTGTGGGATTAAACCTCAGAGCTCCTGATGCTGGAACATGGATCTGTTAAAATAAGGAACATCCTGAGCTTCTTCTGCTAAAAGAGCTCATGGTTCTGGTTCTGGTTTGGATAAGAGAGTTAATGCAAAGATGAGCTTGTGTTGAGTTGTTTTATTTATGAATGAAAAGAAGGAAATATGTTTTATTTCTTTTATTTTACAGTTAAATTATTATTTATGTAATTAGGGTTTTTTGTAATCTTAAATGTTCCTATATGAACTGCCGACCTCTTACACTTCAATTTAAAAAAAAAAGACCTTGTGGAATTTGGCAGATTTGTTTTTGCAGTTTTCAGTTTTAGGGGGTTATTTTTTTCTTAAACATATACCGAGATATATATCGTATATCGAGATATAGCAAAATATATCGAGATATATTTTTTGATCCATATCGCCCAGCCCTAGTTAAGGTTGGTCAATTCCAGAGAAACCATAATGCATTACTAGTAAATCATTCTCTCAGAGTTTACTAATCATTAATAAATGCTCAAATTTGTACTTAAATATACATTTACAAATGCACACACAAATGGTTAGTTCATGAGTAATTAAGTAAGAAATACTTATGAGTTTACAGCACAGGTGAATTAAGTGCAAGTTAAGTGCTAATTCAGGTTATTAAGCGTGAATCATTATTAATTAAGTCTTTGTTCATGCTTTATTAAGTCTAAATAAGGTGTAGTTATTAGAAAGTGTTATCGTGTATTTTTAGTACAACCCGATGATTCTGTGTCACTTATAACTTGCAGGACAGTACAAAATAAGTTGTACAGAATAAGTTATAATCATCCATTTATAGCTTGAGATGAAATACAGAGAATTTTGGCGTACTGTATTTTTCGGAGTCGCTTCGGAGTATGAGTCGCACCAGTCAAAAAATGTGTAATGAAGAAGAAAAAAACATACTATATAAGTCACACCGAACTATAAGTCACATTTTTTGGGGTAAATTTATTTAATAAAATCAGAGACCAAGAACAGACATTTCCTGTGCAGAAAGAACAAAAATGTGGCTGTTTGCTGCAGGTGTTCCAGTCAGTAGGAGCAAGTAGAGGATGCTCAAAACTCAAACACAACTCCAAACAAGTAGAAAAAGTTAACACATCGCACGAGGAAAAATATAGTTAAAAGGCCTTTATTTGAATGGCCAAATCAACATGTTTGGACCTTAACTGGTCTTCGTCAGGGCTTAATTAAAACAGAGCATGGGCGTGGCCTTCAAGTAGAACACATCAACCAATAGCAGGCTGGAAGTTGATTGGAGGCAGACAAAACATGTGCACAGGAACAGGACATGGTACAGGCAAAAAAAAAAATTAAATTAAATTACAACAAAAACATAAACACATTATTTAAATTAAGACTTTGATCTGTATTGTTTTTTTTATAATATAATTATTATTTATTTATTTATTTTATAATATATATATATTTTTATAATATGTTCTTTTATTTATGTTGCATTTACAACCACTGTAGGCTGATAGGTTCTCTATGTATATATTATTGCTATTATGGTTATTATTGATAATGATGGCAATAATAATAATACAAAAATAAATGATAAAAATAATAACACTAATATAAATAAAAATATAATAAAAATATAAAAATAATGATACAAACAATAAATATTAATAAATTATTGATAACAGTAATAATGGAAACATTCATGGTAATGATAATGTGTTTATGTTTTTGTCGTAATTTTTTTTTTTTTTTTTTGCCTGTACCATGTCCTGTTCCTGTGCACCTGTTTTGTCTGCCTCCAACTGACTCCACCCATGGATCTATTAAAATAACTGGATACAGTGTTGCTGCTTGTAGCTGCCTCGAGTTGACGTAGTGGCCACTCAGTGGTACTACAGTCGAAAAAATCCCATGGGCCGAGAGAAGATTTTTCTCATAGAGCGCAATGTAATCACAACCTGCTCGTGTTCGGCTGACAGTGCACCTACAACTTTCAAAAATGTCGGATTTTGTGGCGATTTTTACCTATTTTTAGATCATAAACTTTTTCTCGCTCAAAATCCTTCAGTTGTCTTAAAAAAACGCTTTATATTCGTTAGCTCCGGCTCCGCTCTCGTTCCTCTCGCTCTGATTGGTCAAAGCGATCACGTGATACACGAGCCCGCGCTCCGTGCGTGTGGTCGCGTGCATTCGCGTGTGCCCGTGGGAGAAAAGAACAATACTGCGCATGCTCGGTCGGCCCACAGCCACCGGAAGTACCTAACCGGGCTAGGCTAATCTGGGATCATGCGCCATTGAGCTCAGCCCATTGACTTGAATGGGCGGCCATTTTGGAACCTGGGGGCTTGACTCCACCCTACTATTAGTTGATGTGTTAGTTTGGTGGTAGAGTTAAGTGCGTGAAGTGCGGGAGTTCGATTGCCAGCGACAAGAGCCTCCTACTGGCCCAGACAGAGGGAGTGGAGGTGTCAGGGTTCCTGGCAGGAGTGAGTTGAATGTCGGTGGGTTCCAGACTAGAACCTGGTCTTAGCTCGCCATCGAGACCTGGCCAATTCCATAAAATTCATCAATACGCGGCTCGCTTGAGGCACTTGAAGGGCGATGGTATTTGGCTCCTGCAGCATGCGTTCACTTGTCTGTCTCTCGCGCTTCTGGGGTTCGTGCTAATATAGCTTACTGATCGGTCGCTCGAGGTCACGTGATCGAACGCACGCAGGGAGACGTAAAGTGAGAGAGCAGGAGCGAGGCAAGAGAGTTTATTGCCAACACGGTTTTGTCACCCGCATTACAAACATTTTAATTTTAATATATAAGTCACACCGGAGTACAGGAGAAGGAAACACCCAAACCGTGAAAAAACGTATAGTCTTATAGAAAAATACGGAAATTAGATGAAACTTCAGCACATTGATAACCAGTGTTGGGAAGGTGACTTTTAAAATGTATTCCTCTACAGATTACAGATTACATACCCCAAAATGTACTTTGTAATGTAATCCATTAAATTACTTAAAGTGAGTAAAGTAATCTGAATACTTTGGATTACTTGATGTTGTCGTGCTTTTGAAAACTACATGAATGTACCAACCACATCCTGAAAATTCTTGTTTGTTCTCTTCAAATTGTCTGTTGAGCCCAAATCTCCATGAACAGACTTTTGTTTATTGTAGAGAAGCAGAGACTAGGATCTGATCATAAGATGTTTTATCTGCTAAAAGAAAATAAAAAGTCTAGTCTTTCCTTAACCAAATTAAAAATATTCATAGAGAAATGATTTTTATATGAGAAATTTATATGAATATGTCCACCTACTGTTAGTGTCATATTGTTTAGACCTGTTTTAGTCCTAGTTTAGTCCTTGGTTTAGTCCTGTTTTAATCCTAGTTTAGTCCTGGTTTAGTCCTGGTTTAGACATGGTTTTACTCCTGGTTTAGTCCTGGTTTAGACCTGGTTTAGTCCTAGTTTATTCCTTGTTTAGTCCTGGTTTAGTCCTGGTTTTACTCCTGGTATAGTCCTCGTTTAGTCCTGGTTTAGACCTGATTTAGTCCTGGTTTAGCCCAAAATATGAAAACAGGAAAATACCACCATGTAATCCATTTATTTCAACAAAGTAACTGTAATCCAATTACCACTCATGGAACTAGTAACTGTAACTGAATACAGTTACTCATAATTTGTACTCTGATTACTGATAACTCTGTTACATGTAATCTGTTACTCCCCAACACTGTCGATAACATTACTATGAAAACAATATATAGTGCAATGTTCTTCTTAAGAGAAAATAAGGTGTTACAGCTCAGAATAATGGATTGCGTCGACTCCTGTTTTGTTTTAAAATGTTTTGTGTTAGAGGCGAAAAATTCAGTAACTCAATTCGGGATTTTTTTTGACGCAGTACATATGACAAGACTTTAAGTGCACATAAAAGGTACATCACACTAATTACACAAGTGCAAAAGAGTACCAAGGATACTTCACTAAGGTCCTGAAGAACACAGCTTATGAACACTAAAGGTAAAAAGGTGCAGGGAAGTGAGCACAATTTATTTTTTTTTTAGGAAAAATAAGAGTCTTTTGCTAAAACGTGATACCAATATTGACTACAAACAATAACAAAATATAATATAGGTTTGATGAAGAGGGTAAATAGGTGAGGAGAAAGAACCATGTCTAATTCTGTGTGTCTCCATATTGTATCAGCTCTGGTTTCTCTTTGTTTTTTCAGAGAATTACTCACCAAAGACTACAGTGAGACTTATTACCTTAAAGATGGCACACCTGTCACCACCACTCCAGACGACATCGTGAGTAAAGCATGTACCAAAAAATAAAAGATGTTTGAAATCTGTAAAAAGGACAAAAGTTTTAGAATGAATGTTTCTGCGCTCAGCCAAGTAGCTTCTTCAGTTCTAATAAGATTCTTGAACCACACCAACCTGATGAGATGCAAGCCGAGGATGAAGCTGTTCCCCTCTTGAATGTCACAAAAAGAAAAAGAGAAAAAACTGAAACAAAAGAAAGAAAGAGAATATTTTGCAGTATCTGTAAAAGGTTCCCCAGGACACCAGCAGTTAAGGTGAATGAGGTCCAGGACACTTGGGAGATGTGACTGGAAGCTGCACCATTCAGTCCATGAGGAGAGTATGAGGAAACACTTAAGAGAGGATGAAGAAGGATTGGCTCTGTTGCAAATATATAAAGTAAAAAATACATAGAACCAATGGAGAACTCGACTTCATCAGAACTAGACACTACACCTCTCAAGGCCAATTTACGGTCCAGCGTCAAATAGTCTGCGTCATGACTAGGGATGGGCATGATTAATCGATTAATCAATAATTGATCATTAAGAATTTCATCGTTTACGTTCATTTTAATCGACAAACCGAATGTAGGTTGCTGTGCGTATCGTGACCAAACAGGTGTGTACATGTGTCTCTGCATCAGAAGGAGCGAGACACAAACAGTGGGTCAGTCTGTAACGTACCGAAGCACAAATGTGTATTTAACGATGACTTGTACAAGAAATTCCACACTTTCCATTGCGTTCGGGACAAGTTTGAGTCAATGTACACAGTGTACAACGCAGCACATATGTTTCAGTGTCCAGTGGGAAAAGGATTTACCAGGTGAGAGTCGCTCAATGTCAATGACGAGTCCCCACCTCCCTCCCCCTGTACGGTGTCCTGGTTTTGACAAACACAAATCTGGTCACACTAACCTGTATTCACCTGAGTCATGTCTTTTAATCTGACAGAAACTGAACCGCATCAGCGACACAAGAGCTGTAGTTTTATCTTTGCTTAGTTTATGCAAATTAGCGATGTGGTTTTAAGTTTTGTTTCTGTGAGAGTTGCACAAAACTGAATTAAACACATTATAATGTCAAACGGGCTGATGTGGCTCTAGAGTCGTTACGGTTTATATGTCGTAAAGTTGAATTTATTTATGCAGATTAGTAGTGCAGATAGTAATAATAATGATGATCATTTTAATATAAAAATGTTAATGATTAATCGATAATCGATCGTTAATTCTTCCGACGATCGATTAAGAAAATTTCATCGAATGCCCATCCCTAGTCACGACGCAGAGAGTCTACATCGACGTGTACCCCCTACACAAAGCCTCTGCAACCGACATGCACCTCAGAAAGTTTCTAACTACGGGTCGAAACGACACAGACAGCAGGGGAAGCAACGCAGACGATAAGAGCTGTGATTGGTCCTCTCTACCGCCGCACTACACACATTTCCTGTACTCGGCTTTCCTTTCTTTCAATATACATTGTGAAATAATGTGCTTAATGCGCATATGTGTTTCTGCATTTTACAGAAACAAAACTTAAAACCGCATGGCTAACTTGCATAAACTAAGCACTCAAAAAAACAGCTCGCTCCTTGTGCCCTGATGAGGTTCATCTTCTGTCGGACTTAAAAAGGACATGACTCAGTGGAATATGAGTGTTCTTTCTGTGACAGAGGGATATTGTAATGGTGAGTCTGTTCTGTGGTTTGTCATGTTGGAGATGGTTCATGTGAAACTTTTCAGAGATTATACGTCTGCAGGTCACACACATAGACTGTATATATGAATGGACATACATCCTGGCCTCCTAGTGTTTTGGTGGTGAATTACTTCGCGGTGCTTAGACTTCAGCGCAGATCAAAAACAACGGCAGCAAGGTCACGGCAGCAGTGCGCGTTGAGTTGACGCAGAGCTATACTTCACTCTTCAGTGTGGTTCAGTATCTTAGGCTATGTTCACACTGCAGCCTGAAGTGACCCAAATCAGATTTTTTGGCCCCAGTGCTCCTGTATCTGATCTTTCAATGTCTGAACAACAAACATTTTTTCAAATGTGACCCAGGCAACTTGGGTATGTGCTCCTAAAACCGATACATATCTGATCTTTTGACATGTGACTTCAGTCTGAACGACCAGGTCACATTCATCCCACCTACACGTCACAAATGTCACAAATCCTTTCTACAGACGTTGCTGCCACTGCCCCACAAAACACCACAGCCAACAATCTTCCTTCTCAATCTTTTTCTCAATAAGTTGTTCATGTTCTGGCTCCGGTTCAACAGCAATTTTAAAATCTCCAGGTCTCAAGGCTGCGTCCATGTTTAGGCGACTTCTGTAAACACTGAGCACTCTCGCTGTGTGTGGTGTTGTCGTGCTGTCCAATGCTCATGCAGGACACTTTTGGGGCGTTTAAAGTTCACACAGGAGATCACATACAAGTCACATTTAACTGAAAATGTGAACGACCTCACAAAAAAATCCAAATTGTGCCTTAAACCCTGCAGTCTGTGCGTAGCCTTAGTGTAAAGAGGTGGAGATCCAGGCTTCAGATGTTCCTCCTGCTGCTACAAACGGCCAAAGAGAAAAAGATAATTTCATGGGAACAAAAACTGAAGACATTCAGAAGACTACGAAGACAACAGCAAGATGAAAAGGAAGAACAAAAGGTGTTAAGCCTGAAGAGCTGAATCCAGTTTGATCTGCTGAAGAGCAAATAAAAAATGACCATCGTATGAGATTCATGTGGAGTAATTTAAGTATTTGACAAAGTTCAAATCAATGGACTGAAACGCTTGTCTTTGTGTTTTTTCATGTGTTGATCCCTTTTTGCATCGGCCGTTGCCATAACCGTTTTCATTTATAATAGAACTATGTCCCTGTAATCCCCCACTCCCTAGAGTCACACGAACCACCCAGTCGCCCATGCAGCATGTTGAACTTTTACATATTTATTTATAGTTATAGTTCTTGAGCACTATAAACCATGACTCATTTATGGCAAAGTTATGCATGAATTCATATATTTTTACTTGGAAGTTTTAATGTTCATGATCTTTTGTATTTAATAATAACTAATAACTATTTATAACTTTAATAACTGTATTTAAATAGCACTTTTCAAACAGAGGTATGGTGACACTTTAGATTAGAGAACACATATTAATGCTAGTTAATAGTATAATGCATAATAAGTGCTTAATTACATCTTTATTATTTCTTATTTCTTACTTTATTTATTTGTAAAGGGACAGCACATATATGTAAAGATTATAGCCAACGTGGCTCATTTCCATCTTCAGTCTCTCGGCACGTTGATGTAAAATCATCTACAGGACAAAGGAAAGTACAGCAACAATCACACAAAAGTACACAACACCAGCACACACACTATACACACAACAACACACTCACTATACACAACACACTCACTCACACCACACACACAACACACTCACTATACACACACACACTCACTATACACACACACACACACACAACACACTCACTAACACACACACAACACACTCACTATACACACACTACACACAACACACTCACTATACACACAACACACACACACACACACACACAGTACACACAACACACTCAATACACACAACACACTCACTATACACACACACCAGACACACTCACTATACACACAACACACTCACTATAACACACAACACACTACACACAACACACTCACTATACACACACACAGACACACACACTCACTATACACACACAACACACTATACACACACACACACTCACTATACACACACATACACACTATACACACACTATACACACAACACACACACACACACTCACTACACACACAACACACTCACTATTAGGGCTGGGCATCATTAAGAAGTTGCCGATACGATACATACCTCGATACATAGGCCACAATACGATACATATCTCGATACAGTGAGCTTTCGATTCAATACGATATATTTCAAATCGATTTGATGCAGTTCAGTAAAAATAAAGGCTAAATCATGTCTGTGATAGTAAAAGTCTTTGTTAAACCACTTCTTCTTGTGCAAAGTTCATATGAAACACAAACATTTTAATCATCAAAACAAATGTGTTGCATAAAAAAAGTTTCCTTCCTCTAAACAAGCACCAAAACTGTAGCTCTGTAACAAAATAATTTAGTAAAATAAACCAAAAATGACTCTTAGTGATATATTGATACAGCAGCCCACGATATCGATACTGTTTCATCACATTAAGCTATACGATATATCGATATTTCAATATTTTTGCACACCCCTACTCACTATACATACAATTAGTTTCAAACAGTTCATTTGAAGTTCAAAGTCAAGAGTTTAAGAGTTAAACCAACAAGCCCTCAATATAAAAGAAAATGTAAATTGGTTAAACATGGCGACATATTTGACCATTGAAAACACAGTTTTAAAGCTTTAGAAAATGCTGCAGTGTTGAAAGTTCTCGTACATGAGCAGCTCTGTGTTCCATGTTTGAGCAGCTCGATAAGTAAAAGAGAGTTTGTCCAAACGCACTTTTCCTAAACGGCCCAGAGCAGTCGCCTCTAGAGCTGCTCTTGTTGTGCGAGCTGGAGCAAGAGATAAGTATACCAGAATTAAATCTGCATAGATTGTTTGTCCAGTTTAGGAATTTGTATTGTCAAGTATTCTGCAACGCACTTTTCCTCCAAGCGAGTCCAGCACTGTTTGTCCTTTTTCTTGCGCAGAGCTCCTACTAGAAAGCTGCTCTTGTTGATGCTTGTAAACAACTCTACAGTGTTTTGAATTTGACATTTTTTCACAAGACTCCTTTAGAGAATGAACTAGTGGAGCAAAGAAAAATGATCGCTTTCGTGTTAAAACGTTTGAATCTGAAATAAAGTGTTTTCATAATAACAGAATACCTGTGTAATTGAAAATGCGTCAGTCTTTAACCTGCGTCTGCTTCAGTGCCATTGGAATTTGAATCCCTTAGTTTTTCGCTGTTGTCTTCTTCTTTGACCTACCTTTTGCGGCTAACTGCTCCTGGATTCTTGTTGTGAACTTTTTGATATATTTGTGCAAGTATCAACAGTGATCATTTGTGGGCTTTTTGTCTAATACTTTAAGTGATTTTTTATATATAGTTTCAGCTAATTTAAGAGTAGTTTTGTTTGTCAGAGTCCAACCTGTAATGCAATAATTTAGGTGTGGCAAAATTGTAGTAATTAGTATTTATAAAGTACTTTCAATGCATTTTTGTCTAAGACCGTATTTTGCAACTACTAACCCATGAACTATTTTCTTTCCATTAAAATATTGGAGATCACAATAAATGTTTTTGTGCATACACTGAAATCTTAAGAAGCATTAATAAGTGTCTGATTAATACCAACTAATAGCTAAGTAACAGTTAATTATCATACCAGTTGCCACTTCGTTAGCCATTAATACATGCACCATGAATTTCAGACTTCGGTCATTGCGTGATGCAGACTGGGAAGGAATTTCCGAAAAAGTGAGCATCAAACCTCCATGTTTGTTTTCCCAGTGGGATGTGTCTATTGACAAAGTCGATCTTTTCTAGTCTTTTGAACCACATCACTTTTGTTTCTGGTTCTGATATTGTCATATTTTAGTTTTGGGATTCGGACGTCGTAATTGTGTCGTTGTTGGATCCTAACACCGGAAAACGACTCAAGGAATTTGTTTGCGAACTTCATAAATGCAAAGGGGAATCAGATGTGTGTGACTCAAACCGCTGTTCAAACTGTTTTCCTTCCTAAAGGAATTGAAAAATAGTGAAAGGTGAAGGTGATGGGCAGGATTGATCCACAGGAAGAACCAAAAAGGAAACCTCTATCTGCCTAAATCATCCCGAGTTTACAGAGAACATTTTGTATGTGGAGCGACATCAAAGCAAAATCCCAATCCCTCGCTCAACCTTGGTTATGAATTTAAAAAGTCAACTTCAAAGCAAAAGGCACCAACTGTTCACCAAGAAACACCTTCCACTGCAAAGAGACCAAGATGTGATGTTACTGTAAAACCACAAGAACAAGAAAGTGCAGCTCAGCCTGTTTGTCTTCTGCACCTCTCGATTAACAAACGGGATCCCACTTTTGAACAGAGGTTTGCAGTCACACACATCTGATTCCCTTTTGTATTTGGGTCTGGTCAAGCAGTAACGGAGGGAAACAGGGGCAGATTTTTGACATTCAAATGTCTCTTATTCAGAAACTAGAGGGACTATTGAAATAAGTAAAGTATCAGAATGTAGGAAAGAGTTACACTCCAACAGGGTCAAGTTAAACCTGTGATATTCTTTCAAGTTGTTGACAAAAAAATGTAAAAACTCATGTCGGTAACGGAGGGAATGAAATATGCAGCACTTTTTGGGCAATAAATCCAAACAGTGATAACTCTTGGTTCTCACTTACATATCCTTAACAAACTGGTTTGAATATTTGCTTCATATAGTTTTCTACCATATGGTACAAGATTAGGTTGAAAAACCTCTGACTTTTTGACTCATGAGATTTTTTATTAAGAAAGGTCATGGTAACAGAGGGAAAAGTAACGGAGGGAAAATTGTGCAAACAAGTAGAAGGTGCAGGATTTTACATCATTTGTCAACTTTTTTCTTCTGAATACTTTAATATTACTTCAAAATGAAAGGAAACTATTTCTATAAAATATGTCAGTCCTTCCAAGCCAATTTTTTATCATTTTAAATACTTAAAAAAAAAAAAATCCTGTACCTTCATCAACAGTTCAAAGATGGAATAACACAAGATATGATGAAATACATCCATTTATTTACATGATTTGCAGGTCTTTGAAATTTGGGAAATAATTTTTGTTCCATGTTTCATACATGGTCTGTTTAAAACATATGGAACTTTAGAACCAAAAATGGTACAGAAAAAAGGTCAACAGTTTCATAAACTAGAGTACATATGTATCTGTTCAATATATTTTTATATCAGATGCATTAACTTGAATTTTTGGCCTTGATGTTTACTTCTGCTTGACCAGGCCCATTTATGGAGTTCATAAACTTCTGAAGCCCATTTCTCGAGCCATTTTCCGCTGCTAGGATCCAACAACCACACAGTTAACGATGTCCAAATCCCAAAACTAAATTATGACAATATCAGAACCAGAAACAAAAGTGATATGGTTCAAAAGACTAGAAAAGAGTGACTTTGACAATTGACTCATCCCACTGGGAAAACAATGGTTTTATGCTCACTTTTTTGGAAAATCCTTCCCAGTATGCATTGCCATTGCGCAAATTTGTGATCCATTTATATGTGGTCCCTGAACTAAAGTGTTACCAGAGTTACAAAGTGAAACAAGTATTTTTGTCATCAGTGATCAGATGTGTAGATTATGTGAACTTTTATATATTGGATATTACTGGTTATATGAACTCATATATTTCGCAAACGATATGATTTGTTGCTGTGGGTGCGTGTGTGCGTGGGTGCGTGGTGCGTGTGTGCGTGAAACGGTGCTCTACAAATCAAATGGACGTGACTTGACTAATGACGCTGAAACTCCCACGCCCTGGTATGTTTACACTGAAGAGTATCTGTTATTAAGTAACTGTAATCTCTTAACCCTGCCTGGACTAATAAGGGATTACACTGATTACAACACTAATACCACATTGACTTTCACAGGATCACTGCTACTACCAAGGGAGGATTGTGGGAGACGGAGCATCAGAGGCGAGCGTCAGCACGTGCGACGGGCTCAGGTGACACTCCACTTTTCCTGATTAATAAACAATAATCACTGTTGGTCAAGTGACTTTAAAACTGTAATGTGTTATTTATGACTTGTTACTGTCATTTCAAAGTCATTTGTTACATTACAATATTACTGCATTTAAAATGTAAAATATTACACGACTACTGCAGTACTTTTAAATTACTCTCAACAAAAGAACTGTGCCAAGATGCAGAACTTTTGTGACGTTTATGGACTGAACCAATGACTAAATCAGGACTAAACCAGAGCTGAACCAGGACTGAACCAGGACTGAACCAGGACTGAACCAAGGACTAAACCAGAACTGAACCAGGTCTAAACCAGGACTGAACCAGGGCTAAACCAGGTCTAAACCAGAACTAAATCAGGACTAAACTAAAACTGAACCAGAACTAAACTAGGTCTAAACCAGGACTGAAGCAGAGTTGAACCAGGACTGAACCAGGACTAAACCAAGTCTAAACCAGGACTAAACCAGGTCTAAACCAGGACTAAACCAGGACTGAATCAGGTCTAAACCAGGACTAAACCAGAACTGAACTATGGTTGAATCAGGTCTAAACCAGGACTGAACCAGGACTAAACAGGTCTAAAAGAGGACCAGTGTTGTGCAAGTTCACACTTTTCATGAACTAGTTCAAAGTTCAGTTCACACTTGTTCAAAGTGAATAGTTCACGTTCATAGTTCACAATTTTAATTTTGAACTAGTTCAAAGTTCAGTTCATTTTATATTTAGGTGGGATCTGTAAATGAAAGGCTGCTTTTATTTTTCAAACTGACTTCTAGTTTACAACAACTTTACAAGATACACTGTTGGACAAGTGACTTTAAAACTGTAATGTGTTATTTATGACTTGTTACTGTCATTTCAAAGTCATTTGTTACATTACAATATTACTGTATTTAAAATGTAAAACATTACACGACTATTGCAGCACTTTTAATTTACTCTCACCAAAAGAACTGTTAAGATGCTGAACTTTTGCGCCGTATATGGACTGAACCAGGACTGAACCAGGACTAAACCAGGTCTAAACCAGGACTAAACCAGGACTAAACCAGGACTAAACCAGGACTAAACCAGGACTAAACCAGAACTGAACCAGGACTAAACCAGGACTAAACCAGAACTGAACCAGGACTGAACCAGGTCTAAACCAGGAATAAACCAAGACTAAACCAGGACTGAACCAGAATTGAACCAGGTCTAAACCAGGTCTAAACCAGAACTGAACCAGTACTAAACCAGGACTAAACCAAGACTAAACCAGGACCAAACCAGGACTAATCCTGGACTAGAACTTGGAATCTAGCACCGCCCCTGAGTGAACCCCGAGTGCGATCGGGCGTCAGCTGCGTTTATCTCGGTGGAGCGCGGACTTCTGCGTCGGTCCTTTCGCTCAGGATCACGGTCTACGCGGGCGCACCTCCGGCGTTTCACCGCTGCTGATATCGCGGTGATTTTAGCAAATTTGTATGAAAAAAAACGAAAAACCCACCATTTCAATCCAGGTTGAAAAAGCATTGTGACGCGCGTTACTGACATATGTACCAAGTAAAATAATGCGCGCGTGGAGCAGCACGTCCTGTGCGTGTAGATTTCAGAAAATAGGATCCATCCTATTTTTTGACGCTCTACACGAGCTGAGGCGCGTGTCTCCGTCAAAATCCACAGAGAGCATGTATCTGTTGTTGTATTTGTGCATTTACCATCAGCACATTGTGCTCCCTGGGCAGTTGTGGATCATGTGAAAGAGCCCAGATCCACATACACTGTTCATTAGTGCTTTGAAATTTACTTTTGAAATCCTTGCATTTGCCGTGGTCAGCCTGTACAGAAGGTAAATACAAGCAGCTAAACGCGCCCAGTCAAGTTTGATTGACTTTCCCATTGAGAGACACAAGAGCCCGTATGTTCCGCTAAAGCTGCCGGTGGAGTCGCCTTCGCGTTGACACGCGGCTGTGGTTTCGCGAGGTGAAGTGCGAGCAGATCGTCACTCGTCAGGTGAAAACAAATTCCGACGTTTAACTGAACCCCAACAGTGACGTAAGTCGTTCATCACACATAATTTGAACAAATTCACGTTCAAGTTCTTAATTTACAAACGTGTTGCGTTCAGTTCAGAGTTCACTGAAAAATGAACGTGTTCAATGAACGCGTTCTTGCACAACACTGAAGAGGACTAAATCATAGCTGAACCAGGTCTAAACCAGGTCTGAACCAGGATTAAACCACGAATAAACCAGGACTGAACCAGGACTAATTTTCCCCATTTTTTCCCCTGTAATGCCACATTACTCCCTTAAAGCAAAGTATTACAATAACTTGTTACTTTTATAAAATGTTACTTCCTACAGTAACAGTAGAGGTGGTCAAAGTACTGCATTTCATAACTTGAGTAAAAGTACAAATATACCTGGTCAGATATTACTTCAAAGTATATGTTGCTCATTCATTTTTTTCAGTTTAAAACTCTTTACCTGATTTTCACTGTCTTAAAAACAGAATTCTTTCATTTTAAATAGTTTGCAGTGGTCCAGAGTTATTTCGAGAGCCCTATTTATTCCCTTTGATGAGTTTTTTTTTAGGTAAAGCTTACGACAGCTAGCATGCTAACACACACTTCCTGACCATCTCTGATATAAAGTCTAGTTGTGGTTATAATGCATGTCTGAAGTGGAAGATGTTGTACAAACTAGTAGTCATATTCACTACAACTTCACAACGTTCAGAGGCCAGAGCAGAGTTTTGCCATCACAGTAAAGCAACAAGCATGCAAACGGGGCACTTCCTGATTCTCCTAATTTGATGCAAAAACACAGCAGTCTCATTTTTACCTCAAGAGTTGATTAAACACTACATCTGTCCTGGGGTAAGACTGTTCAAATACACGGTTAATTAACAGTTGTTGTGGCTGTTTTCAGAGGGTACTTCCGGACGTCGCAGCACAGGTTCCTGATAGAGCCTTTGACCTCTGACCCTGAGGGGGATCACGCCGTGTTTAAGGTCGCTGAACAGGAGAGCGCCACTCCAGCCACGTGTGGAGTCACCAACTACACATGGGCCACGAACGAAGAGCCACCCAGCAGAACAAGATCTATGGTGCGTACGTTTCTTTGCCTCAGTTCATGTTCATGGCATTGGTGTAGTCTCTTACAGCTGAAAGCTCAGTGTAAAGGAAATGAAAATATTGTGTGATTATTTTATCTTTTAGAAACATTTGGTCTTGTAACTGAAACTCACTGAGTTGGGAAAGACCCTTCAGTGTAAATGCTCCTGTTTCCTTGACCCTTCAAAATGTAAACGCTTCTGTTCTCTCTTGCTTGCTAAATCTTATCTGGAAGCAAGCTGGTCAGGGAGTGATCAAGACAGGTGAATATGGATGCAAATCACATCAAGCAGTTGGGTTTCAGACCTCTGTCTCTCCTATTGTTTTAACTCCACATGTGACATCGTGCTCAGGAAGGCCAATATAAACACATCTGGCCACACCTCAGTAGGACTCGTCACATTCTCACATTGAAACGTTTGTCCTCTGGTCTTCTCAGCCTGTATAAACTTGGTGCTTGTATCATTCAGGGTCTGACGTCGAGGGGACATGCTGCTTGTTGTTCTGTCGGACCTATTTCTTGCGAGAAATAAACTCTGCATCTTTGCTTCAACATTCACCAGTGTCTACAAATGGAATCTTTTTCCACAACACAATTCCCTCCCTGAGCTGCAGAGGCTGCACTAGCACTGACTCATGACTGGCTGCAGGTTTTGGGGTTTGAGTGATGACACTCCAGATGAGAGATTCATTTGGCTTTATGATCAGATAATTGAATTAGAACCAAAACACTAAATTATAACATAAGCAACTTGGCCATGATGTCCAAAGCTTTTGTAATGAAGAATAAATCAGTAAAACAGTCTGTCTAATCCAGACCTGGGCATTGTACAGCTCCCAGGCCACATAAAGCCCTTTGGTTGACTCTGACCGGCCCGTTTAACTCATTTGAAATTACACCTCATGCATGGACTCAGGGCCTATTTACTTAAGAACGCTTGTGGGTAAAAACAGCAAAACATTTGATCAGAAATGACTTTTGTTTAGACAGCGTTTTTGGGACTTAAAAACGCAAAAATCTGAAACCACCACCAGAGTGGAAAAGTTGAATAAACTCCACCATAGTGTTTCCATCTACACTGCTCAAGACGCAAAACTCTGGTCAGATCTGCTCATGTCACGTACACGTTTATATCACATACATCACCACCTAGTGTCACCACTGAGCCGCCTGGCATGAATACACAGTCCAATTCCACACACTTTTGCGTCACTGTATGTACACAGATTTCCTCCCGAAAACGCTCATCTAAACGTGGAATAAAAAGTGAAGCAGCAACGCCACTTTTGCGTCTTCTGTTCATCATATAAACAAAGCCTTAAGATGCATTGTGTTTATTTTAGAAGTGTTTTTTTAAATTACATTTTTTGTAAGGCAACCTCACTTTTCCATTGCTTAGTCATACCATAAACTCTACTGCTATTTAATGCTTTTATAAAGAAATATAATGAATACCAATAGTTAGATTCTGTCTGGCCGTGAAAATGAATGAAATGTTTTACAAATGTGTAAGATACGGAAGCCGAGAGGGGTCACAACAAACACAAACGCTGCAACAAATACAAATGCGACAACACAACAAAAAGCCACAACACACCAAAAAAAGCCACAACGGAAATGACGGCGGGACTCTATTTTAATGCAAACGCCGCAACAAATACAAACGCCACAACACAAATGCCGCAACACATCAAAAAGTCACAACACATCAAAAAGCCACAACACATCAAAAAGCCACAACACATTAAAAAGCCACAACACATTAAAAAGCCGCAACACATCAAAAAGCCACAACACATCAAAAAGCCACAACACATTAAAAAGCCACAACACATTAAAAAGCCGCAACACATCAAAAAGCCACAACACATCAAAAAGCCACAACACATTAAAAAGCCACAACACATTAAAAAGCCACAACACATCAAAAAGCCACAACACATCAAAAAGCCACAACACAACAAAAAGCCACAACACAACAAAAAAAAGCCACAACGAAAATGGCCGCGGGACTCTATTTTAATGCAAACGCCGCAACAAATACAAACGCCACAACACAAACGCAAAAGCCACAACACATTAAAAAGCCACAACACATTAAAAAGCCACAACACATTAAAAAGCCACAACACATTAAAAAGCCACAACACATCAAAAAGCCACAACACATTAAAAAGCCACAACACATCAAAAAGCCACAACACATCAAAAAGCCACAACAGAAGTGGAGGACTCTATTTTCCGACGGACCGATCAAGCGGCAAGTGAAGAAGAAGAACTACAATGTGAAAAGTAAAGGAACGGAGAAGTTGGAAACATAAATAAAAGTAATTTAGTTTTGTTTTGTTGTTTTATCATTATTCGTTTCACATTGTAGTTCTTCTTCTTCACTTGCCGCTTGATCGGTCCGTCTGAAAAGAGAGTCCCGTGGTCACTTCTGTTGTGGCTTTTTGATGTGTTGTGTTTTTTAATGTGTTGCGGCTTTTTGATGTGTTGTGGCTTTTTGATGTGTTGTGGCTTTTTAATGTGTTGTGGCGTTTGCGTTGTGGCGTTTGTATTTGTTGTGGCGTTTGCATTAAAATAGAGTCCCGCGATCACTTCCATTGTGGCTTTTTTTGGTGTGTTGTGGCTTTTTGTTGTGTTGTCGCATTTGTATTTGCTGCGGCGTTTGCGTTTGTTGTGACCCCTCTCGGCTTCCGTAGTAAGAAAACTAAAAAAAAAAAACAAGTTGAATATTTGTGACAATATGCAATAACTGAGGAAATGCGTTTGTGTTTGCAGGCTGGGTCCATCGTGTTTCAGCAGAAGTACATGGAGCTCTACCTGGTGGCTGATAAAAGAGAGGTAAGAGGGTGATGAAGATGATGAGGGCTGGGCCTGTGATATGTTTAGTATTGTAATAATGATATGCAGACTGGAATCTGTTTTCAAAAAAGTACATTTTAATGGATTTCTGTATTTATTTTGTTTTTGCTGTATGGGTGAATGTGATCTAAAAACTCAATGTATTCGATATAATTATCTCTATACACAGTGTTGGGAAGGTGACTTTTAAAATGTATTTCCCTACAGATTACAGATTACATACCCCAAAATGTAGTTTGTAACAGAATCCATTAAATGATTTAAAGTGAGTAACGTAATCTGAATACTTTGGATTACTTGATATTGTCATGCTTTTTAAAACGACATGAATGTACCAACCACATCCTGATAGAGAAGTGATTTTTATATGAGACACTGCTGCCTTCAATTATGTCCACCTACTGTTAAGTGTCATATTGTTTAGTCCTGGTTTAATCCTGGTTTAGTCCTGCTTTTAGACCTGGTTTTAGTCCTGCTTTTAGACCTGATTTAGTCCTGCATTAGTCCTGCTTTTAGACCTGGTTTAGTCCTGCTTTTAGTCCTGGTTTAGTCCTGCTTTAGTCCTGCTTTTAGACCTGGGTTAGTCCTGGGTTTAGACCTGGTTTAGTCCTGCTTTAGTCCTACTTTTAGACCTGGTTTAGTCCTGCTTTAGTCCTGCTTTTAGACCTGGTTTAGTTCTGCTTTTAGACCTGGTTTAGTCCTGCTTTAGTCCTGGTTTTAGACCTGGTTTAGTCCTGCTTTTAGTCCTGGTTTTAGTCCTGGTTTAGCCCAAAATATGAAAACCGCCCTGTAATCCATTTATTTCAACAAAGTAACTGTAATCCAATTACCACTCACTGAAACAGTAACTGTAACTGAATACAGTTACTCATAATTTGTACTCTGATTACGTAACTCCGGTACATGTAATCTGTTACTCCCCAACACTGTCTATACATATGGAAAACTATGCAAGGCTGTTTCTTTACTAAATGATGGACACAAAACTCTTCTATCTAACGGGCATCAAATCTTGGTAGATTCTTTTCTTATTTAATTCTTAATTCATGCTTTTGGTGTGACTGTGTAATCTTTGTTTTAGTACGTGAAGATGAACAATGACATAAAAAAACTGCGACAGAGGCTTTTTGAAGTGGTCAACTTCGTCAACATGGTGAGTTCATAGACTGTATATAAATGGACATAGCCGCCGCATTCGTGCATGTTCATATTAACCCACTGTACAGGATCATGGTGTTTTTATTTCAATATTTTGTGTTGGCGTGTTCCAATTGTAGAAAATAATGACTGGAATCGATCGATTGAAATCACAAAAATGTATTCCCTATTCAGTACAATTCTAATACAAAGCTCTGAGTCAAACCTCTGTCCCTGGTGGCCTTTTCTACACAGGTCTTACTTCAGGCAGTCTGAACACCTGCATCTGTCCCTTAACCCAGTATATATACATTCACAGAAATATGCAAATGATATGTTGATCAGGTTCACGCCTTGGCTCCTCCCTGAAGCCTCTCCGCTTATGGGAATGACCGGATCTATTTAGGTTTGGTGCCAGCCAGGATGTCTCCTTGTCAGCTGCTCTGTACAGAATTTCCTTAAAAAGACACAACCTACACAGCAGTTTCTTTAAGCACATATATCAGGTGTCAGTAGTTAAGCATTAATTACGTGACTTCATTAACAACATTTAAACAAATATATAATTTCAGCATTTAATAACTGCATGTGGTATACTCACGACACTTTATTATTTGTTACGGCCTTCATTTGTCAATCAATTTCTATTCGTCATATGGAACTTGGCTTCAAATTTACTCCTATAACTGCCGCCACACTCCCGTCGTCCACTTCTTTGTAGAGTCTATGGTTCATTGATCTTTTTTTTAAATGTTTTTTTTATAATTTGTCAAGTTTGAGGGATTGGATACCCAGCACATCCACAACAACACAGACATAACAAAATATAAAACTAACACGTATACAAAGAAAAGAAGAAAGAAAAAAAAGGGAATAGAAAATATGTAAATTTGATTTGACAGCCCTAAAAATGTAAATACACACATGCAAACACTGCATTGAGAAACGCTGTACTACACACCCCCTCCCCAACCCCCCCAGAGGGTCACATGGGGCAGAGGGTCACATGTTTTAACACAAAGACAACAACAAACACACAAACATCCACCATAGAACAGAAATAAATAAGAGACCAAGTTTTAAAAGCACATTCCCTAAGCCTATGTGGGTTTTAAATTGCACGTTTTGCATCGTTTTGGAATAAGGGAGCAATATTGTATGGTCAAGAAAGTCAATTTTGCATGATACATATCCTTTACAAAACAAACTGAAAAAAGTGTAAAATACTAGTTCCTTACGTATGACTGTATATTCTCGTTCCAAGGTGTACAAACCACTGCTGACCTTCGTGGCCCTGGTGGGGGTGGAAGTTTGGAATGTCGATGACAAAATTGCGATTAGTTCCAACACTGAACAAAACCTGAACTATTTCATGGACTGGAGAAACAAGAATCTGGCCAACACCAAGCACGACTGCGCCCACCTCATCAGGTCAGTCCTGTGACAACAATGCACAGACACCGGCACTTATGATAAAGTTTGAAGTGGGTGACATTTAGTGATACTGAGCTGGTGTCATCAACCTGTCCAAGATGTCATTTGGCCAGAAAAGACCCTTTTAACCTTTTTGGAGTTAAAAAGTCCAAGCTACAAGATTAAAAGCAAGGTCAAAATGTTCCAAAAGCCACTTGGCAGGAAATCAGTACAACCATGTTTTTACTTTTTTAAATTTTTTTGTACATTTTATTACACAACTTAAAACAGGTGAAAAATAAACAGGGGTTGTTTACAATACCTAAAATGTAGAAGCAGGGATATGGAGTAAGAAAGCTTTCAAAAATATTTGTGCGCATTGAAATCCGTGCATATTTGGTAAATTGGTACATATTTGGCTGTAGTTGCACATAAAATAAATATTTGTAAACTTTCAAATAAGTCCAGTCGTACATAAAATATATTGTGTGTATTTTATCTATCAGAATATGAACTGAAAAATTACGAAGTCAAGCATTACATTCACGAAATGAAAATTTACGATTAGGCTTTCATCAGAACGAATATGAATTCACAGATGGAATTTTACTGTCAAAAATACATCATCACTTCACAGACATTATTCATTGAGCAGAAGAAACATCGATCAAGATCAAGACTGTGCATGTTTAAGTTTGTAGCAGAGGGTAAAAACAGAGTAATGGCATAATAACAGGACTACAACAGCGACCAACAAGTGGGTTCATTCAAATTTATTGTAAAAACATCTTGTCTTGCCACATTGAATTCGGGAACTGAACGCTGCTGTGTAATATTGTGTAGAAACACCTCCTCTGAAGGGGAAACTGCACCTATATCTTAGTAGAAACATAGAGGAGTCAGTTGGCAACATCAGACGTAACGTTATCCCAGGACTAATTAGCAAATATAGGGGTTATAGGTATAAATATAGGTCTTGACGTCATAATTTTTCAGTTCGTATTCTGATGGATAAAATACACACAATATATTTTATGTACAGCTGGGTTAATTTGAGAGTTTACAAATATTTATTTTATGCGCAACTACAGCCAATTATGCATGGATTTCCCAAATACGCACGGATTTCTATTCAATGTGCACGAATATTTTTGAAAGCTTTCTTACTCCATACAGGGCGCTAATGGAAAATGGACTTGTTCCTATTTACATACAAGTTCATGTTAAAACATTGTGTTGAAATTGTATTTTTCTTAAAGTTTCAGGTTGTTCATAATATTATAATATTTTGTAAAAGAAAGAGTTCATCAATTAAAAAAGATTTCTGTAATAGATTTGTGTGGGGTTTATATGACATGAGTTTTCTGATCCGGCCCCTTTGGGATCAAAGTAACGGAAAAGTTACACAGTGCACTTTTAATATTTTTTGTTGTCATTGTTACACTCGGTCTCAGTGTTGGAAAAGTTACCATTTACCATTGTTATTTGACTTGTTAACTAATATGTTTGTCTTCCTTTTGACCACAGTGGGATAGACTTCGATGGCAGCACAGTTGGACTGGCGTTTGTCGGAGCCTTGTGTACAGGATACTCAGTGGGCGTGGTCCAGGTAAACAAATGATGCAAATACTTGGACACACCTTCTCATTCTGAATTGTAGCTACACACTGAAGACCTCGAATATATGGAGCAACCTGTATGCAGTTATGTAGCAAATAAAAAACTCTAAATATGTTTGATACTTTAGATTCCAAGTTTTCTAAATAGTCAGTCTTTGCTGCAAACCTCACCTGTCCAGACACAAACAAGCGCTTTGACAAAACTTTACAAGGCGAGTGGATCTGGAGACTTAGGCTACGTTTATATGATGATGGTTTGAACAGAAGACGCAAATGTGGCGTCTCGTCTTCATGTTTTATTCCACGTTTAGACAAGCTTTTTCGGGAGGAAATCTTTGTGCATACGGTGATGCAAAAGTGTGTGGAAATTGATTGGGTGTAGGCCTGTAACGATAACAGATTTTGCTTGACGATTAATTGACCAAGAATGTATTGCGATAAACGAATAATATTGACATTTTGAGACCAATTTAAAAAAATATAATGACCATGGAATAAAAATGCAAATACATCCTCTCAATGATCAATAAACTTTACTTTCTAAAGAACATTTAACACAGACAACCAAAAACAACAGGCCTAAAGAAAACAGACTTAACACAGGACTAGTCTAATGTGTCTGGCTCACAGCGAGGACTTGTTCACAAAAATGCACTTGAATAAATCATTGCTGAACCAAATACAACCAAAGTATTAAATAAAATGGATTATTAAGTCTCTGTAACAAAATTGCCCTTAAAAGTGATTTTAGTCGTTGTCTTACATTGGAATATTGTGTCTTGTCTCTCTGTGGCTGCTGCTGTGGCCTCGTCATTTTGGTCATTTAAATGTTTGTATTAACCCCCGACACATGATTCTGTTTCGCTCTGAGGGAGCCTCTGTCCTGTCTGGTATCGTGTCGGTGTCTTGTGGGATTTCAGTGGATTTTGGGTTCTCCCGGCAGCTAGAGTAGTGGTGTCACTCTATCGGGTTTGGGTTTATATTCGGCTGTTGCGGTTTGAGACATTTCTTCTCGTTGTTTGTGCGCTCGCTGCATTTGACGCATGTGGCTGTTGAGACGTGTCCCGCTCACCAGTGTTGATTCGGCATCGTGACTTGTTTTGTCACATGGAGATGAACTGTTTTGGTTCTGACAGCGACGCTTGTGTTGCAGCTTCATGTTCACTGCACAGAAAGCGGCGCTTTCTGCATTCAGACTACACGTGCATCCACTGTGTTTATCAACACAGTTCAAGCGTCAATACACTTGTTAAACGAGAAGAGTCAGAGTGATATTATCCTTCTAACATTCAGTCTCTTTTAGAGCAAGTGAGAGCGAGGAAAACAAACAAACATGTAAACAGAATTTATCGTGGCCGGAAAAGTTATCGAGCTCGTTAAAAGTTATTGTACGATTAATTGATTTATTGATTATCGTTAGATAATAGAGGGGGGTATAAATTGGGCTTAAGGCATAAAAAATGTGAAAAAACTATATAAAGGACTGACAAACCACGAAGATTTTTTTCAGAATCAACAATCGAAAGTAACAAATTATGACTTATCTCAGGTGAAAGGTATATATTTTGTTCTGAATAATACAAGAGGAGATGTCTTCCACATTTGAGAGACACATGATAGAAATAAACGGCTGTGGTTGGTTCTCAAGTTTGGTTTCAAGGTCTTTCACGATCTATGGTCCGATTCCAGAATGTAGAAGGGACGGGCTTCTCAGGCAACTGCAAACCCCTGTCCTTCTCTCTGAGGCCCTGTCCACACTAGTTTGTATTCGAGGCATTTTCTTTGTGGATGCAGTGTTCATCCACACTAATCTGACTCCAAACGAACGATCTGGTGTCTCCAGCTCCCACGAACTCATCAGAATACAAATCTGATCCGGCACTGTGTGGACACCTGAAAACTCTGATACACTGATGTAGATCTATGCGCCACGAAGTAATTCACCGCCAAAACGCTAAGAGGCTAGAATATATGTCCATTCATATATACAGTCTGTGTGTACGGCATGCAGACGTATAATCTCTGAAAAGTTTCACATGAACCATCTCCAACGTGATAGAAGCAAAGAACAGACTCACCATCAGCAGAACACCCCTCTGTCACAGAAACAACACTCATATTCCACTGAGTCGTGTCTTTTCGTCCGACAGAAGCTGAACCACATCAGTAAAACGTTCTGCAAAATGTAAACACATATGCTCAAAGCTGTGTGGATAGGGAAGGCTTGCGGACACAGAAACAACATGTGTGGGCGTAGATCATTTCCGTTACGGTGATACGGTGATACACGGATTCGTTTCAGTGTAAACGGGGTCTAAGAGGTTCACGATGAAGTCTCCTGAAATGGTTTTCACTTGTTGGACTTCTTTAGTGGAATGCCCAGAATGTGCAAAACAGTGATCAAAGTGCAGAGTGGTTATTGTGCACACATGTGGAATATGATCTTATAACTTAACAAAAAAAGGTTAAGTTGTGGTGAGTTATATTTTTTTAGAAGCTGTAGTTCCAAATAGCAGTGTTACAATGACAGAGAAAATATAAACTTGTAGGGCCAAAATTGCAAACAGAACTACAATTTTAGTTTATCTATATACCTTATTTTCCGCACTATAGGGCGCACTTACAAGCCTTTAATTTCATCCAAAAACGAGTGTGTGTCTTATAATCCAGAGCGCCTTCTATATGGATTTATTGGGGTGTCTTAGTACGACTTTAGTAAACTACAAAGCCGCTCCACTTGTAGCATTACGGCTCCCGGAGTCAGGAGCATCAGGAGAAATACATACTGTGATTCCTTTTAATATCAAAATGCACCTGTCAAGAGACACGCTCACAACACCCACTTTAAACTCAAGACTATTATCAAGGAGAACACACATTCACCAAGACAGAGAGACAGCGCCGAGCGACTTACACCACGATCTGCCAATGGATCATGGACGCCTGGACTAAGGATCAATATCAACTGTGGTCCGAGCTTTCACCAAGACCAGAATCATCACTGAACTGAACTCCAGGGAACAGTAACCACACTGACGAGAGATAATGACGAGAGGGATGTGGACGTGCTGGACGCTGGAATCACCCAACTGTTTGAACAATTATGAGTTATTGTGAATACACAAACAATTTAGCGTCTAAGACAGTATTTATTTTTTTTTATGCGTTACAATTGAACAAAGTTGAGAGTTATTGTGAACGCGTTAAATAAAGTTTGACTGACTTATACAACTGTTGTGTTTCGTTTAATGCACCTTATAGTCCGGTGCGGTTTATATGTGAAAAAAGACCATTCAATGACAGTGCGCCTTATAATCCAGAGCGCAGGTACACAGTTTTTCCCAGGATTGTTATTAGACAGTTTTCAAATTCGTTTATCATCAAAACACTTATTTGAACATGTCAGGGTACGTTTTGCACAACTCATTTCTCATAAATGTTAAAATCTCCTCTTCTCTTGTACTTGTGGATCCAGTCTCATGTTTTGACTTGTCTTGTGAAAACTGTCTCATTCCATCCCTATTGGCAATTTTGAAGAATCTAAAACATGTTTCTGAGTTTTTTGTTTCACTATATTCTGTGTGTTTATTCATAGTTTTGGTGCCTTCAGTGAGAATGTTAATAAGTCATGAATTTAAGAAAAAACATTGAAAGTCCTACATTACACAAAAAAAATCTGAGATATCAACCTGGTCCCCATGAGGCGTGGGTGGGTCAGTTCATCACCACAGAAGCAGTTTATGAGGAGTCCAGCCCATATGACATGATCATTATATCCACAATACAATGTGTGTATGTGTACAGGCCCATGAACATGTGTGTGATATTGGTCACACATGAGAATGTCTGTGTTTACTAGTGTGGAACCAAAATGTCATTTTTCATGAGTTGTGTGTATGTTAGTTGTGTGACTGTAGATCAGTGTGTCGTGTATCACCAGAAAAAGAAAAAATGGAAATAATTTTTGTTCCAATTAGAACAACAATTTAACTACACTATTCAGCTACACTGAAATAGAAAGGAACTGTCATAATTTGTGATTATCTTGAGATCCGGAGATTTTGAGAGCACTTCCGTTGCTCGAGCTCGATCCTTCACGGAGTTATGACCAAAAACACATATTTGACCTTGGTTACCTTGACCTTCAAGTGACCTTGACCGGTTTCAACCCGTATAACATCCAGTCTACCCTGGTTATGTGTGTGCCAATTTGTGTGATGATTGGGTGAATATTTTAGGCCGCAGACGGTTCAGAAATTGCTGTGCGTGTGTGTGTGTGCGTGTGCGTGTGTGTGTGCGTGCGTGCGTGTGTGTGTGTATGGAGCCTGATTCACACTGTGCCCTTTATCCTTGCAGGATTACACTGATCTGAGTTCAGCGATAGGGGCCACTCTGGCTCATGAGCTGGGACATAACCTGGGCATGTCCCACGACTCCACCTCCTGTGAGTGCTCCGGGGCCAACTGCATCATGGAGCCTTCTGTCAAGTACGTACACATCTCAAATAAAACTGTCATTACACGAAGGAATGAACACAGCTATTTCAAATATCTGAGTGTTCACAAATGTGGTGAGTTAGATGTGTTATTATTATGAATGAATGGGACATGTGAGTGTGGAAAGCGCAGACGTCTTCAAACACAAGGTGAGCACATTTTTTCTGCACGGTTCATGAAAAAAAAAAAAAAAATGAATCGTTCGTTTCGCTTATCACGGTTCGGGACTTATGCATACTGTACGGTTTCCATGGTTCCTGGCTTGTGCATTGTAGCCTCGTGCCTGTATGTGACCTGTGTTCACTTTGTGTGGAGGGTGGGTGCTGAGCGTCACATGTAGAAATGACAAGTAGGAGAGAAGAGGGCCGCCCGGAGATGGAGGATGCGCCCGTGTTACCTGGCAAAACCACAGCGGCGCGTCAACGCAAAGGCGGCTCCACCAACAGCTGCAGCAGGACGTACACGCGCAGCTCTGACTCTGTGTTTATCAACGGGAAAGACAATCAGACTTGACTGGGCGTGTTTAGCCGCTTGTATCAGGTCCACAGTGAAATTAACAGCTGAATAGACTTGTATTTACCTTCTGTACAGACTCGCCACGGCAAACGCCAGGATTCCAAAAGTAGATTTTAAAGCACTTATTAACAGTCTTTCTGGACCTGGGCTCTTTCACACGACACAGATCTGCCCCAGGAGCACGATGTACTGATGATAAATGCACAAATACAACAATAGATTCATGCTCTCTGTGTGTATTTTGATGGAGATACAAGGCTACACTCGCGTAGAGCATCAAAAAATAGGATGGATCCTATTTTCTGAAATCTACGCGTGGAGGATGTGCTGCTCCATACTCACGTCTAGAGCTCACAGTGGAGCCGCCCTCGGTCACTTTCCATGCATTCTAAAAGTTACGCTTCCAAAGGCTGCAGTTTTTACGCTCGCTGTATGCAGTGGAGCCAGGCCTTCAACCTTGCAGCCAAGAGCGCAATTTCACTAAACCAAGTATCTCGACTCCTGAGAAGGGTTTGGGTTTGGGTGGAAGGTGGTAAAATTTTTTCAGCAAAGCACAACAGCTGCCTATGTCCAATAATACTATGCTTAAAGTCAAGTCAAATTCAGTTTGTGCATGATTACATTACTAACTATAATGTTATAACTTTTTTTAATGCTGTATCTTGAATTGTGGATAATTAAGATAACATATGATGAAGTATATTTCTGGAGATTAAAGATTAAAAAGAAAAAATGACAACAAGAACCGTACCGAACCGAAAACCGTGACCTTAAACCGCAATACAAACTGAACCATGAATTTTGTGAACCATGCCACTTCTAGTGGATTGGTAAATTGTTTATGTTATAATTTGGTGTTTTGGTTCAAGACAATTATCCAGTCAGGAAGCAGAATGAGTCTCACACGATTCTCTCATTTGTGTTGCCAATTTCAGTGCTGAAATCCAGTTGATTCAAACCTAAAATGTCTCTCTCTGATCTGAATGGTCACTACCTAAACTCAACCCTGATCAGTGCTGGACTCTGGACTTTCTGAGCTTCACATCAGGCCTGAACATAAACTGGAATAAGACAAAAAACTTGTATATGTCCTCTGTCTGTAGGTTAAGACGATGGTAACTCAGATTTTGTTGTGATTGTAGTATTTTTTACTACATACTCTCCTTTTAAAGTTGCAGGTGTAACTTCTGGAGGAGGATCCATCAAATTCTTCTCTTCGTGGAGATGTTAATGCTTTGTCTGGAATGTTTCACAGTTTTCTTTTAAACATGAACTGAATAGTATCTGTATCTGAAATCATAGTAATATGTTATTAAACCTTTCTAGCTTCATGGAGACCAAACTAGACCAGGTTACAGGTCAGATCTGTGGAGAGGCGACCCCGCTCACAGTCACAATGCATGTTTTTCTAGGATTTTTGAGCTCTAAACCACCTGTAATTTAGGCTACGTTTATATGATGAGGGTCTGAACAGAAGACACAAAAATATCATTGTGTCTTCACTTTTTATTCTGCATTTAGACGTGCATTTTCGGGAGGAAATCTGCGTGAATACGGTGAAGCAAAAGCGTGTGGAACTGGATTGTGTATGCATGCCAGGCGACTCGACGGTGACGGTGGTGATGTTTGTGACGTAAATATGTACGCGACATAAGCAGATCTGACCAGAGTTTTGCGTCTTGGGCAGTGTAGACGGAAACACTACAGCAGAATGTATTCAACTTTTCCACTCTGAAGGGTGATTTCATTCAACATTCCAGGCAGAGCACTCACATCTCCATACCAACCACAAAGTTTCATAATGCAGCTTTAATCTCCATATCCATGCCTGTTGTGCAGGAGCTGGAGTATTCCTGAGACCTTCAGCACCTGCAGTCGCTCCAATTACGAGAAATACCTTCAGGACGGGAGTGTGAACTGCCTCCTGGACAAACCCGACTACCAAATCGTACTGACGCCCCCTGTCTGTGGGAACGGCTTTTTGGAGAAGGGAGAGCAGTGTGACTGTGGCACTGTCAAAGTAAGGATTTTATTTAATTTTATTTTATTTTAAGTATTTAGTTAAACTTTCAGCTTTTTTGCACATTGTGTAACTTCGTCTGGTGGAAAGTGTGGCATTAAACCTTTCTATCTTCATGGAAACCAACCAGACCAAGTTACAGGTCAGATCTGTGGAGAGGCGACCCCGCTCACAGTCAGAATGTCTGTTTTTCTAGATATTTTTGAGCTATAAAACTACCTGTAATTGAATAAATGTAAAGTAGAGCTGTTTAATGTCACACTGTGGAACATTCAATGACATGAATGAATAAATGTTTATTCAGACAGTAATATATAGAACATGAATAAAACACAAAGGTAAATGTTTCTATTCTATAATAACAGGCAAAATAAATGTCACACCGAAAGGAGTGGAAGGACTTAAATACTTATTTAACCCCACCCCTTTTTTCTACCGTCCCAAATGAACAAAGAACACATATAGACTTCTCATTTCCTGTACAATATAAGCAATAATTGCACAGTACCCACTGTTATGTCCCCTATGTCCAACAAGGGACACTACGAGTATAAAACAATCCTTAAGGCAAAGTAGGTTTGGCAAACTTTTTATTTTTAGGCCAAACATTCACCAACGTGCACAAAAAACAAACAAAAGGTTGGTGGGAGGAGGCGTGGGCCAGTTGTGCCAAATCAACAAACCAAAAAGTATAACAAAACAGGCCCTAACTGAAAACTAGGCTACAAAAAGGAAAGAAATCAAAAAGCCTAGCCTACCTGATCTAGAAAAGGAGAATTTGGAAAACTCAAAACAACAAAGGTGGCAACAACTGATAACTAATGTGTCTAACAAAGGAAATCTATGTGATGTGGAATGTACAGGGATCCCCCAACTTACCTAACCCATCCTCTAACAAAAACCTTACACACACAAAACCTGGGCTAGCAGCCTTGCCAACACACATTGTAACACACAGAGTACACAGATATAGTACAGCAGCAGCCTAGCCTAAGCAGGGACTCCCAGACTTCCTTCACCCCACACAGTCCTCCATCCTGCATATATACATATCTGCATTATATACACAAATACACAGAATTTTGCAAATTTTAATAATCAATTTTTTAACTGCCCTTTTGAATACATGTATATTTGAACAAAGTTTTAATTCTATTTTCAAGTTGTTCCATAATTTCACACCACAAACAGAGACACAAAACCTTTTTCTTGTCGTTCGAGCACGAGGCAATTTAAAATTCAAAAAGCCTCTTAAGTTATAGTTTCTTTCCCTTTTACAATCAAGTAGTTTAATATTTTTTGTTAAGTGCTTATTTTTAGCTTTATACATAACTTGTGCAGTTTGGTACAGAATCAGATCATTCAGTTTGAGTAATTTGGCGTGAATAAACAGTGGATTAGTGTGGTCATGAAATTTGACATTATAAATAATTCTTATTGCTCTTTTTTGAAGTTTTATCAATGGTTCTATTGCGGTTTTATAGTTATTCATTTGTTAACTTCTGCACAGTCTGTTAAATATGGTAAAACCAGTGAACAGTAAAGTGTGTGTAGTGCTCTGTGATCTAAGACATACTTTGCTTTATCTAATACTGCAATACTTTTTGATATTTTATGATGTATATATTGGATATGGGCTTTCCAGTTAATCTTTTCATCAATTATGACCCCTAAAAATGTATTCTCCTTGACCTGCTCTATTCTTACACCTTGTATCTGTAACTGTATTTTTGTATGACATCTCCATAGAAACAAGCAGGTGATGGACCTCCGACCAAAAGGTTACACAATGCACATTTAAAAGTATTTCTGCCTTGTTTGAATGCATTTTTCTAATTTAACCAAAAAAGTATTGTAAATTAGGTTTCGATAATAAGTCTTACTCCACAGGCCTAGAATTTAGTTTGAAAAAATACTCTCCTAAACAAAAATATTTCAAATTCAACTCAAGTTTTTGCATTTTGGGTATTACAAAATCAATGCGGATATCAACAGGTGAAGTAGTGCCTTGCTCATTGACACTATAGCAGTATGTTCTAGGTGAGGGAGGAAGAAGAGAGACGTCACAGTAATACAGGGAGGGTGTGCACACTCAGACAGATCAGGAGTCTAACCCACAACCTCCTTACTGAGACAGGCTAACCACTCTGCCAGTAGCACGGGGAGGACATGACGTGACTCTAAAGTTTATTTAAGGAATTGTCAGTGTGAGGTGTGAGGTGCTAACTTTAGCGGCGTGACTTCCAGTTTAGACTTGTGTTTGCCTTGAAGCTGTGGGTGTATGAAAGCTCTTTGTTGCATCATGACTTTGTTTTTGTATCTCTGGGGATCTTAAAAGCTGCGGGTTCTGAGGCAGGTGAAAACATGAAGCTCGGTGGACTGGTGTTGAGTTATGTCTGTCTGTTCTTATTGTGAAGAGCTGCAGCAGAGACAGAGACGGTGCCATCGTCTCCTGCTTCACTCCTGATTTTGGTGAACCTGGTAGACTTTGGGAAATTGTTCACCTTCAAGACACTCAAAGCTCTTTACAACAACAAAGAACAAAAAAAGAAGTGTCTTGCCCTCTCCGGGTGGGTGGAGAGTCCCTGCCTCAAGTGGAGGAGTTCAAGTATCTCGGGGTCTTGTTCATGAGTGAGGGGAGGATGGAACGTGAGATTGACAGGTGGATCGGTGCAGCTTCGGCAGTGATGCGGTCGCTGTATCGGACCATTGTGGTGAAGAGGGAGCTGAGCCAAAAGACAGAGCTCTCGATTTACCATCAATCTGTGTTCCTCCCCTCACCTATGGTCATGAGCTTTGGGTAATGACCAAAAGGACAAGATCAAGGATAAGTGGTCGAAAGAGAGAAAGAGTTCCCTCCACAGGGTGGGTGGGCGCTTCCTTAGAGATAGGGTGAGGAGCGCAGCCACAGGGGTAGGGAGTAGAGCCACTGCTCCTCCATGTCGGGAGGAGTCAGCTGAGGGGAGGGTGTCTGTTTCAGATGCCTCCTGGGCCTTGGGTGGCTGGAACACTTCCTTCCAAGCATGTCGGGAGAAGGCCCCAGGGAAGACCCAGGACACACTGGAGGGACTATGTTTCTGGGCTGGCCTGTGAATGCCTTGGGGTCCCCCTGGAGGAGCTGGAGGAAGTGTCCGGGGTGAAGGAAGTCTGGGAGTCCCTGCTTAGACTTAGACTGCTGCCGCCGTGACCAGGCCCGGATAAGTGGAAGAAAATGGATGGATGGACCATGGGTGTGTCCAAATGTCTGGTTCACATTTATGGTCATTATTTTAAGTTCTAAAGTTTTTTATTAGTAAGATAAATTCTGTTTTTAAAAAAGAATTTAGAAAGACGAGAATGGAGAAAGGAGAATGTGACTAGATGAATTCATTTTCATCATTGAGATGTTGTGAGATTGGGAGACTTTGAAGTAATCCAAGGCATTGGATACACCGAAGCTCCTGAAACATCCTGAGAAGTTTCTTACCCCAACACTTTTTGTCTAAAACCTGCAGATTCATATAATGCTCTGAAATGTTGTTTGTTTTGACAGGAGTGCACCAACCGCTGCTGTAACGCCTCCACCTGTACCTTCAGCGAGGGCTCACATTGTGCAGAGGGAGAGTGCTGTCAGGACTGCAAGGTCAGAACCACTTTATTACAACAGACTTATAAAAAACATTGTCCTCCAGCATTTCACCTGATGAACCCAACCAAACTCTCTGGCTTTGAACATCGCGTGAGTTGTGTGCTCCTCTTTGTCTTTTATTGTTTAGTTTTATTGCTTTTATTTATGGTAAAGGAGAAATTTAATCAACTGGACAAACGTTTATTTAGGTCAAAGATGTTTCCCAGCTCATCCACCCTGCTTCTTCAGTTCTAGTCAGACACTGGTGGACACTGCACTCCACTGAAACTACCGTATTTTCCGGGCTATAGGGCACGCTCCCTCCAACCCCATCACAAATCGACTGCACGCCACACAATCCAGAGCGCCCCATACACGAATCCACTCGGGTGTCCCAGCACGACTTCAGTAAACTACAAACACACACGGAGCAGACAGTGACCGCACAGCCAAAAACACCCACAGACACACTCATCACTCCACGCCGACGAGGAACGAACCGAAAAAGCTAGTCCAATGTGCCACTTCTAGACACGACTGAACAACTGAGTCACTGTGAACACGCCGACAATCCGCTGGTCCCAGACACACCCTCCCTACACGCCACAACTGAACAAAGCCCAGAGTCACCGTGAACGAACAAACAAACAAAACCACTCACCCATCACACTGTTGGGTTTCCTTTAAAGTCCGGTGCGGTTTATTTGTGAAAAAAGTTTGAAAACAGACCATTTAATGACAGTGCGCCTTATAATCCAGAGCAACTAATAGTGCGGAAAATACTGTACTCTGTGAAATATTTTCGACCTAAATAAACAATTGTCCAGATGACAAATTGAACTTTCTGCACACATTCATTTATTCTTCTGAGTCTATTTTACTGTTTTTTGTATTTGTTTTTACTTAGTTGTTTTTATTGTATTAAATTGTAAATGTTGTTATTTTTTTTTTATTTTTCTGTGTGCAGCACTTTCAATTCATTCATTCAAATCTAGCCAGGTTAGGTGACTTGAATTTAAAAAGTTTTATTAAAATTTCAGTAAATTACACTTAAAATATGAAAATACATCTTGCTACACTTAAAATAAGAAAAACGACAACTCTTTGCTCTTAAAAATAAGAAACAAAACCTAATGTTGCTTGAATTAAAAAACACACTTATTCCGTTGGTCGATCATTTTACTTGTCAAGCCGAATCTCCTCAAATAAAGTCAAATGATCTTTGTTTAAGTCATTTTAAATTAAAATGCTTTTTGCAGCGTTGGAAACAGTTTTTGTTTGGATTGATAAAGATACATGTGTGTGGAGAAGCTCCCTGACTTGTGTTGTGTGTGTGTTGTGTGTGTTGTGTGTGTTGTGTGTGTGTGTGTGTGTGTGTGTGTGTGTGTCAGATCGCGGGGCGCTCTCGTGAGTGTCGTCCTCAGCAGGATGAGTGTGACCTGGCTGAATACTGTGATGGAGAGAGCGCGCTCTGTCCAGAGGACGTGTTCAGTGTGAACGGTCTGCCCTGTGACAACGAAAAGGGATTCTGCTACAACGGACAGTGTCCCCAGAGACAGACCCAGTGTGTGAAGATGTACGGACCAGGTGAGGGCGCTATGGCTTTGTTAGACCAAAACCAAACACTTTACACATAAGGACAGTGCACCTTTAAGTCGGTGCTTGATGAGAGAATATGAGAGATCAGATGTCGTCTTCAGGGCCATGATTTCTAGTATCGGACGTTTCTATTGGTCACCCCAGTTTGAGTGTGTTTTTGTGTGTATGTTGCAGCTGCCGTAGAGGGAGGTGCCAACTGCTTTAAAATCAACACAGTGGGAAAGTACTACGGATACTGCAAACGACCTTCAAATACCCTGTACATCGCCTGTCCTCTACAGTGAGTCCAAAGCATGTGGCCTTGTATATTTATTGTGTGTTAAAACTGCATAACGCATGACTCCAACATGTTTAATGTGCTGTTACCGTGGCTACAAACTGACATGTCTCACCTGTGAATCTGAAAAGCTTTCCCCTGTCTGTAAATGTGTCAAGTGCCTACGTTCTACCATGCATCTACAATAAAAACCCGTCCTGGCTCTAGTGGCCACTCCAGGTACTGCAGCTCCAGAAGCTTGGACCCAGAAAGAATTCCCCATAGAAGCACAATGTATTTTGGGGGGAATTCAAACTGTCCGTGTTGGACTGACAGGGCATCCACAACTTTCACAAAGGTCGGATTTTACAGGATTCTTTTCTGTTTTCACAACATAAAATTTTTAACATTTTTAAATCCTCAAAGCTCCTAAAAGTGATCTTTGTACGACTTAGCCTCGCTGTTCTGAGCCACTCTCACTCTGATTGATCCAAAAACACTCGCCCAGATTTAGGAAGTATTGTGAAAGAGAAAATTATTTTCTGGCCCATACATCAAGGAGCTAGTCTGATTCATCAGCCGGTTTCACTTTGTGGAAACCGTCTGACCTCGCAGCTTTAGGATTTGTTCGCTCAACAGTAGGCAGGTACTTTTTTCATTTAACCAATCGCTGCTATTTGGTCGTGACGTATGTAATGCTCCGATAACAGGGCTAACTGCTATATTAAAGGTCGTATAGAGGATTTTTTAAGGGAAGTGAAATACAGCGACAGTCCACCACCTTCCTCCTCCACACCTCCCTCAGTAGAAACACTTCCTCCTGCTTCTTTACTCTAGAAATCACGTTTGTTTACAGCCAGTGCGCGTTCAGAATTACTGTTGAAGTGACCTGTCTAGAAATAATTTAGCGACCGACACGTCAGTTTTTAGACCTTTCGTCGGCTTCAGTCGCGCCATCGCTGGAAGGAACCTCCAAGAATCACCTCAGTTTGTCTTCGCTCCTCTTCCCCTTCTCTTCTTCTTTTAGCGACCTCAAAAATGGACTTTCGTTTGCGGTGAACTGGTAGTGGATTCGCGCCTGCCATTGCAACAAATTTTGTGTGAATTTTGAGGAAGCTACAGTTTGAAAAATCCTCTAAGAACCGCAGCATAAACCGTGTAATCCCTGTGTGTTGGCGAGTCAGCTACACTAGAAACGTAGGGAGTTTGACTGACAACCCAACAGCCAATAGATAAAGAGGTAGCCTCGTTATATATTGGCTGATGTTTATCTGGCCTCACTACATCCACAGTTGATAGATTTTTATTCTTTTTTTTTTTTTTGGTCATCATAATTACAAGGCTGCTATGTCTCTGTAATGGTGTTTTAAACTTTCAATGACAATTTGAAGCTAAAAAAAATCCTCCATACAACCTTTAAGCTTTTCCCAAATCCTGTACGAAGAAGGACAATCACATCTTTCCTCTTGATAAAATTCACCAAACATTCTCTTTGTTACGGCTTTAAATCCTCGATCAACGGGAATCGTTGACAACACAGAATGTTTAGCTCTTTGCTGATTGGCTGGTGCTTGAACTCACACTTCCGGGGTTCTTACAAATCGTCTTGTTTATTCTGATTCTTGATCTGGTCGCTGGAGAGAAATAAAATGGAGCGGAGGCACTAGGTGGCGCCAGCCCGGCTACAAATGAGCACAGGCCACTGAAAACAACACAACGCCATCTTGAGTTCATCTTCAGATTTGATACAGAACAGTGATTTGGCTGGACTAGTTATAATAAAGCAAGTTAATGGATCTAGTCCCCGATAGATAGATGATTACATTAAACATTCGTCATATACTTTTTAGATATTTCATGACAAAGTACTCCATATTGTTTTTTTGTTTTTTTTTCATCATATTTATTGCATATATACATACAAATCATTATAAACAAATGACTCTAAACATATAAAAAAAAAGATAAACAATATACACAAAGATTACAAGACACAGGGGCAGTTAAATGATTCAGATTGATCATTTCAGTTCTTTATAAACTGATAACATGTTTAAGGTAATATTTTAGATTGCATTTGAATTAAATATATTAGGATCAGTATTGTTCCATAAATAGTGAAAACTGTGTCTTGCCGTCCATCTGAAAATCTGAAAACGCACAACAGTTAACCACTGGAATCCTCACTGACTGTGGTATAAGCCGCACAGTAATGCACATGTTGGGTTTGTCTTTCACAGGGACATATACTGTGGGAAGCTCTTCTGCCTCGGTGGAACTGAATACTCGATTTACGGAGGATATTTAAAAGTCGGCGACTGTAAAGCTACGAACTTCCCAGACTTCACCAAAGATTACGGACAAGTCGAGACTGGGACAAAATGTGGAGCAGAAAAGGTGAGAAAGTAGTCAAAGTTGTAGTACTAGTAGTAATAGTAGTAGTACTTAGCCTGTGATTTGGTTTTAGAAAGTACTGCAGTCACTGAAAATCACTGTTGGTCAAGTTACGTTAAAACTGTAATGTGTTATTTATGACTTTGTTACTGTCATTTCAAAGTCATTTGTTACATTATAATATTACTGTATTTAAAATGTAAAACATGACACAAATATTACAGCACTTTAAAGTGACTCTCACCAAAAGAACTGTGAAGATGCAGAACTTTTGTGACGTTTATGGACTGAACCACAACTGAACCAGGAGGATTGAATCAGGGCTAAACCAGGTCTAAACCAAAACTGAACCCGGACTGAACCAGGACTAAACCAGGACTAAACCAGGACTGAACCGAAGACTAAACCATGACTAAACTAGGTCTAAACCAGGACTAAACCAGGACTAAACTAGGTCTAAATCAGGATTGAACCGAGGACTAAACCAGGATTAACCAGGTCTAAACCAGAGCTGAACCAGGACTGAACCAGGACTAAACCAGAACTAACCCAAGTCTAAACCAGGACTAAACCAGAGCTGAACCAGGACTGAACCAAGACTAAACTAGGTCTAAACCAGGACTAAACCAGGACTGAACCAAGACTAAACCGAGGACTGAACCAGGTCTAAACCAGCTCTAAACCAGGACTAAACCAGGTTTAAACCAGGACTAAACCAGGTTTAAACCAAGCCTAAACTAGGACTACACCAGAGCCGAACCAGGTCTAAACCAGGTCTAAACCAGGACCAAACCAGGACTAATCTTGAACTAGAACTTGGAAGATCGTGCCTTGCTCGATCGGGCGTCAGCTGCGGTCCTCCCCATTTAGCGTGGAGTTCTGCGTCGGTCCTTTTGCTCGTGGTCACCCAACAGTCTACGTGGGCGCATCTCCGGCGTTTCACCACTGCTGATATCACGATGATTTAAGCAAATTTGTATGAAGAAAAACCCACCACTTCAGTCCAGGTTAAAAAAGCATTGTAACGTCCGTTACTCACATTTGTACCCAGTAAAATATTAAGATTTTTTTCCCTGTAATGCCACATTACAGTGTTACAGCAAAAAGCAATGAATTACAGTATTTTGTAACATGTTACACTGCTGAAAATGAACTAGTGCTTCAAGGTTCATTGTGTAACTTTTCTGGTGGAGAGTCAGTCAAATGCTTTTCTTCAAGGAAATGTTATTGCTTTGTCTGGAATGTTCCACAGTATGGCATTAAACCTTCCTATCTTCATGGAGACCAAACCAGACCAAGTTACAGGTCAGATCTGTGGAGAGGCTTTAGTTCTCATTTGAACCTTGTATCTGGGGACATACATGTAGATATACATATGTAGGTTAAAATGCAAAATCTACATATATCATACCTTTAAGAAGTGCCTTGCCCTTGGACACAATGGCAGTATATATTGGTGATTATTTTTTATGAGCGTCCTGGTAGCTGAAGTTACAACCTTTTGAACCAACGCTGAAACAAAAAGTAGAGATGTTGGTACAAGCTTCCAAATGTGAGCCGTGATTGTTGGAATCATCGTGAATCTGTTCTTAAAAAAATGTTTGTAACTTCCATTTCAAGATGCTGGAGAACTCTGCCCAGATTCACAAAGCGTTCTGAAGCTCACAAATTCCCTCTTAAGTGACAGTTGCACCGAATTCACCAACACCAGCTACAACCACCTCCACGCTCATTTACATTTAATTTACATAGAAAATGAACATGTATTTGATTAGAAACACCCTCTCAGCTTCCAAATATGGCCAGTGTGGGTTTGGTATTTTGACACGTGAAAGTGCGAGGGAGAGAGTGACCAAGGAGGTCAGGTGAAGCGTCTACCAGGGGTGTGAAAGTCATTTTGGTTCGGGGGCCGTATCCAACCTACTTTGATCCCAAAAAGGGTCGGATCAGAAAACTCATGACATATAAACCCCAAAAATAACAATAGAGGCTTTGCACCGTCACGTGACCCCTATAGTACCTACGCCGCCATGACACCGGGCACACTATGTCATTGACTTCAGCAGTATCGGAGAAACATGGGCAGGTTTTGTTGTGTATTTGGTTGTTCTAGACGCTCTGAAAGGGATAAAACGAATAATTTCTTCACTGTTCCTCTGGAAATGACTCATCAGGAGCTCAAACAAGGGAATTATCGAAAAAAAGACGAGAATTATGGCTAGAGAACATAAACCGCGAAGAGATTTCCAATGGTACCATCAAGACACCTGAAGTTTCATCAAGGTATTTGCTATTTAAATAATTTCATAGCTTATTTAATGAGAGAAGCACATTTACTGAACTAAAATGTCATTAATTTAACCAGGAAAACCCGCACTAGTTTATGATTCAACGAACCCACACTGGGCTCCTATGATCAACATGACGCACGAGTCGAAGAGTCTGTGAGCCGAACCTCGAAAGACTCGGCCATGAAAAGATCCTCGCGAACGTTAGAAAGATCCACACGCAAAAAGTGATTCATTCTAGAAGACATAGTTGTGGATAAACAAGACAATAAAGAAAACATGGGTCCCACGACGAGTGACATGTTTATATGTGCACTGGAAGATCCAGTTTCTACTGCCACTCACACTGCAAATGTTTTCTTTTTACATTTAGTTTTAGTTTAGAACAGGCATGTCCAAACTACGGCCCGTGGGCCAAATGCGGTCCTCAGACAAACTTTTTTGGCCCTCAGGCTCCCAGGTGAATTGGCCCAAAATACCTCCCATCAATTAAAAATGATCTTTTTACTGCAACTTTTTTGAAAATCTACCTTGATAAAGCGAATATTTAATATTTAGTGTGTGGTTTTGAAGATCTTCGCATGAATAAAGAACTGACGGTTCATTCTAACATGTTAAACAAGCACATGTTTCAATTATTCACTGAACTGAGCACCAGTCTAGGGCCCTCGATCGGCCTTCTGCTTCATTTGTGTTTAGATATGTGGCCCTTGATGAAAAAAGTTTGCACACCCCTGGTCTAGAACAATCTAATACACAACAAAACCTGCCCATGTTTCTCCGATGCTGCTGAAGTCAATGACATAGTGTGTCCGGTGTCACGGCGGCGTAGGTACCGTTGCTATAGGGGTCACGTGACGGTGCAAAGCCTCTATAAATTCAAATATTTGTGCAGAGAAACACAAATCTATTACATTATTATTATCCCGCCCACAGAGGAGACAAAGCGAGGAGAGAGGATCGAAACTGCTCACTGAGTCCAATAAAGTTAGATTCTTTTCTCTGACATCTGCTCCTGAAGCCTCCCTCAGGTTTACTCCTTCCATTTGTGTTTTTTTTTTGGGGGGGGACTCCACTTAATATGACACATTTAATCGACAGCTGAAAAATGGAGGATTGAGGAAAGGAATCAAGGAGAAGGAAAGAGAAATGAGACGCAGCCACTGTTCCTCTCTCCTCACTCTTCTCTTCTTTAGTCCCCCAACTAAACTCTAGTGCCGAGTTTAGCAGCTGGATTTATGGGTTTGGGGTGAAGTTTAGGTGTTTAGTCTCACTTTAATTGAACAAATATCAAAGTATCGTGTTTTATTTTGAAGGTGTGCGTTCAAAACGAGTGTGTGGACCTGGAGACGGCCTACAAGACGGCAGACTGCTCAGCCAAGTGTCCGGGCCGCTCAGTCAGTGTTTTTAAATACACCACTCCTTTAACATTTCACTTCTAATTCTTTCCTTTGTAAGCGACATGATAATAAATGTGTGTGTGTGTGTGTGTGTGTTTCAGCTGTGTAACCACCGGGGGGAGTGCCAGTGTGAACCGGGGTGGATGCCTCCTTACTGTGACGTAGAAGACAAGGACTTCAGCTCTGCCACTGCAGAGACTCTCAGCCCTGGTTGGTCCAAAATGAAGATTTATTTCTAGATTTATTTCCAGTTCATACGGAAGCCCTGAGCGACGAGCACAAAAGAACAAATCTGTGCATCATCTGAGCTCCATTTTCATTTTAAGCTTGCAAATATATACACTTTTCTGGACTGACATGTCCGTTGTTTTTCCCGGTATCTGTTGTAGCCTCTTCCAGTTTGGAGGTTACAGCCCCGAGTGTCTGATCACCACAGGCACCACTGATGCCTTCACTTTCCAGGCTTTCTCCCGCTCCTCCTTGAGCCCCTGGTGTTTCTCTACGAGAAATACGAGCTGTATTTTTCCTCTACCAGAGGCCTGGTAGTTTGTTCACCATCACCATCCTGTCAGTCTGTATCTGAAGTCCCACAGGATCTTGGCTCGGTCGTTCTCCACAACCTTTGGAGGTGTTTCCCACCTTGATCCTGGGGTCTCCAGCCTGTACTCTGCACAGATGTTTCTGTACACTATGCCCGCCACTTGGTTCTGTCGCTCCATGTTTGTTTCCCTGCAGCATCTTACACCTGCAGTTCTGTGCTGGACTGTCTCAGGAGCCTCTTTGCACAGTCTCCACCGTGGGTCTAGTCTGGTCTGGTGTGGTAGATCTGGGCCTCTATTGCTCAAATGTTCAGGGTCTGCTCCTGAGCTCCAGGATGAGGCTCTGTGTGTCCTTCAGACCAGCTCTCTCAAGCCACTGGGAGGATTTCTTGATATCAGTCACTTCAGGTCTTTTCCGGTGGTTCGCCCCATGTAGGAGTTTGTCCTGACATGATGGTCCCTCCAGCTCCTCTTCCTCTGGACCCCACTGTCTGAGACATTCTCTGAGCTCCTCATCTGTCAGAGCCTTTGTCCTTTCCTTTCCTTTTTTTTTTTCATCAGCAATGCAAAAAATAAAATATCAATAAGTGTGCAATAAAAAAGAATTGTAAAAATAAACACAAACTAACTCGCCCCAAATATTTAATTGAGCCCAAATGATATATTTTGTTTTTCTCACGTGCAGCTCATGATTTCCGTAGATTTAAGGACGTTATTTTTATGATTATTGATAATGAAGTTGTCTGCTTTATCTGACCCTCTCCTCTTCATCTTCTGCTTCTCTCACCCTCTAACTCCTCTTGACCTCCATCTGTACTCTGTCCCTCACATGTTTGTTCATGTATTTATTTTTCTTCTTGTTATTTTCTTCAGGTGCGATCGCTGGCATCTCTGTGGCCGTGATCTTTGTCGTGTCTTGTATCATCGCTGGGATCATTTTCTTTGTGAAGAAAAACTGAAGCTGTGGAAAAACCAACATGACAAGAATATTTGACCTGTAAATATATAAACACATGGATATTAACTACTCCTCAGTTAGTAGCAGTAGTAGTAGTAGTAATAGTAGTAGTAGTTGTATTTTTGAGTATTTCAGCTGCACTGGTAAAGAAAGTCCTCTAACAGTGTGATTTTGTATTTTCTTGACAGAAGCCATCCTCTCAACAACAGATCTGACAGTGCCATCTTCTGGACAACTTTGGAAACTGCACCTCATTGGAGAAAGCTTTATTTTTTTCATTCTAGTTTTTCTTTTTTAAATTGTAATTATTTGTATTTTTAAAACAGAACAATCCAATAATAATATGAACTCATTCGATGTCACGTTTAAAATTTGAGGATGCAATAAAAATAAAAGGTGCACAGTGCGGCGTCGACTTTGTGTTTGTGCTGTTATAGTTTTTGTTGCTTAAAATCACTGCTGGACAAATGACTTTAAAACTGTAATGTGTTATTTATGACTTGTTACTGTCATTTCAAAGTAATTTGTTACATTACAATATTACTGTATTTTTAATGTAAAACATTACACGACTATTGCAGCACGTTAAGGCTGCGTTCAGACTGCAGCCTGAAGTGACCAAAATCAGATTTTTTTGGCCTCTATGTTCCTGTATCTGATCTTTTAATGACAGTCTGAACGATACAGATCAGATTTTTTCAAATGTGACCCAGGACACTTGGATATGTGCTCCTAAAACTGATACATATCTGATCTTTTGACATGTGACTTCAGTGTGAACGGTCAAAGCGCATTCATCCACCTACACGTTATCAACAAGACACAAACGTCACTATTCTGCACTGAAGTAGGCGAAAATTGTTAATGAACTCAGTGTGACTGAAGTGAAGCACATCACCACTCACCACTCTTGGTTACGTCTCCGCATCCACACGTTCCTTTCAACGGACGTTGCTGCCGCTGTCCCACAAAACACCACGACCAAAAACCTCGTCCTTCTCCTTCTCAATCTCCTCCTTAAAACAAGTAAGTTGTTCATGTTCTGGCTCCGGTACGAGAGGAACTTTAAAATCTCCAGGTGCTCAATGCTGCGTCCATGTTTGGACAACTTCTGTGCACATGCGGGACACTTTTGGGCTGTTTAATGTTCACACTGGAGTCACATACAAGTCACATTTATTTGGAAATGTGAACGACCTCACAAAAACATCGGATTACACAAAAAAAAAAAAATCCAAACTGAGCATTAAGCCCTGCAGTCTGAACATAGTAGTCTATGTTACTCTTACCAAAGTATGCTGGACTTTTATGTCATATACTGACTCAGCTGAGGTCTGAACCAGGACTGAACCAGGTCTTTCGCTCGTGGTCACTCGACCGTCTATGCAGGTGCACCTCCGGCTCGTCCCAGACTCAGAACCATAACGATGGTAGCCTTGCTTACCTTGTCATCACTGCTGTTAGTTACAACAATGATCTTGCTGACAAGTTTTGGAAAAGCTGGTGATTCCAGTGTTGTTGAAAGCAGAAGCATATCTTCAACAACATACTCCAGTAGAGTCTCCTAACCTCCTGAGGCTGTAAAATCACAGGTCATTTTGCTGGTTTGTGGTTTTATCGCCGCTGTCATCCTTCACCAGCTTCCTTGATGACTTCTAACTATGGCACCTCTGCAAATGTTTAGTTAAATTACTGGTGTTATTTGGAGAAGTGGTCAGTTCTTTGGGTTTAGCACACAAAGTGCATTTGACTACGATGTTTTCATATTCTTATTTTTAACAAACATAAAGTAACAATCATATGCCCGTGTGGAGAATGTGCTGTCTGATGTTAGATGATCTGCAGGTTCACTCATGTCTCTCTCTTCTGTCTGACGAGCCTAAAGAAAAGGAAGTGAAACATTTTGTGCCGGCGTTTCATCGCTGCTGATATCGCAGTGATTTTAGTGAAATTTGCATGAAGAAAAACAAAAAACCCACCACTTCAATCCAAGTTAAAAAAGCACTGTGACAAGTTACTCACATTTGTACCCAGTAAAATATGACCTTTTTTCACCTTTACTGCCACATCACTGCGTTCAGTGTTGGGGAGTAACAGATTACATGTACCGACATTATGTAATCAGAGTACAAATTATGAGTAACTGTACAGTACAGTTACAGTTACTGTTTCAGTGAGTGGTAATTGGATTACAGTTACTTTGTTGAAATAAATGGATTACACAGAGGGATTTTCCTGTTTTCACATTTTGGGCCATATCTCCCTTTTTTTTTTTTTTTTTTTTGGTAATTCCACTCATTGCTGGAAACTAAACCAGGACTAAACTAGATCTTAACCAGGTCTAAACCAGGACTAAATCAGGACTAAAACCAGGTCTAAACTAGGTCTAAACTATGTCTAATCCAGGTCTAAATCAGATCTAAAACCAGGACTAAACCAGGTCTAAACCAGGATTTAACAGGACTAAATCATGCCGTGTGGACGTGTCTCCTCTTCTTCTATCAATAATATTTTTTATTCAGTTCAGTAAAGTCTGGTCTTTTTCTTTTCTTTTAGCAGATATAAAACATCTTATGTGAAGATTTCCTCGTCTTTGCTTCTCTACAGCAAATCAAATAATCCAAAGTATTCAGATTACATTACTCACTTTAAGTAATTTAATGAATTCTGTTACAAACTACATTTTTTTGATATGTAATCTGTAATCTGAAGGGGAAAACATTTTAAAAGTCACCTTCCTGACACTGACTGCGTTACAGCAAAAAGCAACGCATAACAGTAATTTGTTACTTGTATAACACATTACTCCCAACACTGTTTAAAATACCCTGAAAACCATGTATTTCTACTGTGAGCCTCACCACAGATATGACCTGTAACTTGACCTAGAGGCGTCACCTGCTCGGCTCCATGGAGATAAAGACGCTCTTTAAAGGAACCGTGAGGAAGATTTAATATGAGCAAAGTGTCCCCAGATATGAGGTAAAATGTTCAAATCAAACAGCTTCACTGGTAACGATTATAATGCTGATTTATTCTTAATTATAAAAACATTAGACATGATGGACAAGTTGTTTATGTTATAATTTGGTGTGTGTTCTTTTTTTTTTTTTCTCATGCCAATTATTCAAGCAGAAAGCGTCCCTCATTCGTGCTGCCAGTTTAAAGATGAAATCCAGTGTGTTTAAATGTTGAAATGTCTCTGATCTGAACAGTCACTCCCTAAACCCCTGCACCAGTCAGGAGTCAGTGCCAGTGCAGCCTCTGCAGCTCAGGGAGGGAACTCTGGAGGTTCTGAGCGTCACATGAGACACGGCCCTGGAGGTGTGATGTTCACTGTAAACATGCTGCGTCTGAGGCTTTGACACACTTAAAGCCAGAACACAGAAACTAAAATAAACTACCCTCCAAACTGAATTACAACTGTGATAACAAACCAAAAACAAACACAGTTTACTTACTCTTTTGTGGAGTGAATGGACCGGTGCAGTTTTCCCAGGAGCTCGTCTTTGTCTTTGCTCTTCTTGACTGAATGTGTGCAGTTGTGCGTTTGAACAAACATTTACATGTAATGTACATGTCCCAGCTCAGAGGTGAGGACTTTGTTGTGACTTTGACTCAAGTCAGACTTGAGTCACCATTTTTAGGACTTGAGACTTGATAAAATGGACTAAGACTTGGACTTGACTTGGACTTGAGGCCTGTGACTTGAGAAGACTTGAGAAGCACTTTTAAATCTGAATTCTTTCTGTTCTGACTGTAATGATTCACCCTAAGATCTTGTCAAGACATTTAAATGGAAAAATGTGCATTTCTACAACTCTTATATAAATACTCATGTATAAATATACCAGGACTTTTTAAGTCTCATTTTATTTAAAATGCATATAAATTGCAAAAATCTAAAGATTTGAAAATGACTTGAAGCTCAAATCAGACGACTTGGACTTGACTTGGACTTATGGGTCAGTGACTTGGGACTCAACTAGGATTTGCCTGTATTTGACTTGGGACTTGACTCGGACTTGAGGCCTGTGACTTGAGAGGACTTGAGGTGCACTTTTAAATTTGAATTCTTTGGATTCTGTCATTATTCACTCTAAGATCTTGTCAAGACGGAAAAATGTGCATTTCTACTCCTATTTACTCTATAAATGCTCAAATATAAATATACCAGGACTTTTAAAGTATAATTTAGTTTAAAATTCATATAAGTAGCAACTTTGGTTTAAAGACTTGAAATGACTTGAATCTCAAAGCAGACGACTTGGACTTGACTTGGACTTATGGACAGGTGACTCGAGACTCGACTTGGACTTGCCTGTCTTTGACTTGGGACTTGACTCGGACTTGAGGTCAAAGACTTGAGACTTACTTGAGACTTGTAAATGATGAGTTGGTCTCACCTCTGTCCCAGCTACAGTAAACCACAAACTAATTATAATTTACAACAGGCTGATGTAGAAAGTTGTTACTAATGATGTTTTGTCCCACAATGCATTGCAACAGTTGTAACATGTAATATGTGAAAGCAAGACGCAGATGTACAAATATTGTAAACACTATAGCAATTTGTGGCGAGGAGAAAATTTGGTTTGTTGATTGGACAAAGGTTAGTTTGGTTGAAGATGTTTCTCAGTTCATCCAAGCTGCTTCTTCAGTTGTGGTCAGACGCTGGTGGACACTTCCTTATACATGTCTGCAGGGAGGAGTGTCCACCAGCGTCTGAGCAGAAGTGAAGAAGCAGTTTGGATGAGCTGAGAAACGTCTTCAACCAAATAAAAACCTTTTGTCCAATTGACAGAATTGAATTTCTCCTTTGCCTTCTTGAAGTTTTGCAAAATGGTCAAACTCCTCAAATCACTGAAGTCAAAGGTCATTGAATAAATAAATAAAAGAATATAACACAGATCGTTAAAACACTGTAATTAGTTTTATTCCTTCAAGTGATACATCTAAAAGAGCTCATGGCGTAGCATGACAAAATACAGTTTACAGATCAACCCTTTGCACAACTAAAAACAGATCAATAGAACTTCATACATTCTTTGAAATATGTTCACCTGACCTAAAGGAGGCCAGCGCCGTATGGACGACCCAGAAAAGCCAGACCTTTGAAACAGATGTAGACCAGAAATATTTCAAATCAATTCTACAAAAAAAATAAAAAAATAATAATAATAATAAATCAGGGCAAAGTCAAACATTTCATTTTTCACAAAGTTTTAAATTAAATGTTTGAAATAATAAATATCGGTAGGTAGATCTTTGGATTTTGAATGATTTACTCAAATTTTGTTCCGTGAAATAACATTGATAGTGAAATGTTAAAGATGCACTGTGTAAATTTTTACTTATTTCAGGTGTAAGAAGTTATATATTTTGTTCTGAATGACACAAGAATTATCTAAAGGA